ATCAGGTCTTAGACATACCAGAATTTGGGGGCTTTTGAGGGACTGATATACTTTATCTTTATTTTATAAGTAGTTTCTCATTTAAAACTTAGTGTAATGGCTAAGTTTTGGAAGACTAAGAGTTGGTAAATAGTTGCATAAATATACTTTGTATACTTCATGTACTTTTTCAGGTTATAGGCCACTATGTATATAGGCTTATCTCCTTTTAGTAATAACTTTTCTCTTAGAATGAGAGTAATGATCAGAAATAAAGAGGAAGAGCCAATGGGGCCATACTCTAAACTTTAAATCTTAATTACATTTTTTATTCTGAGATAATTGTAGAACTACATATGGTTGCATGAAATAATAGAGCAAGGTCGTGTGTGCTCTTTACCCCATTTCCTCTAATGGTCACATATTGCAAAAGGGCAACAGTGTCACAGCCAGTATATTGCTACTGATACAGTCAAGATACAAAACATCACACAAGTGTTCCTTGTTAAAATTCTGGGTTTTGATGCTTAAGTAACCTCAAAGGGATCAACTTAATAGTGAGATCAGATCAAAGAACTAGGCCAAAAATTTATCAAGAGAACATAGATCATTGCTTTCTGCATGGTAATTGGAATGTTGTGGTAGTCAGTCAAGCAGCAACCATGATTAGACAAGGAAGACTACTTCTAACATCCTTTTAAAGTTCTGTGAGAAAACCAAAACATAAATAAAAAGCAAAATAAAAGACAGATAGTAGGAAATTGGGAGATTGATCTTTTGCAGAAGAAAAAGTGACCAAGGTATTGAAAATTTAAGACATGCTTTACTTTAAGTGGTTCTATGAGTTAATTGATCAATATCTTTACCTGTGATATTAAAATCTAAATTTTAGGCCTTAGATTGAAATATAAAGATCCAGTACCACCTCCTGAGTAGCTAAATGAGGTGTACAAATAATAATTTTCTATTTGTCCCTATAGTTATGTCCTAAATATATCTTTAAATGAAATAGCTTGCTTTCAGAGGAGGGGATTGTCTTGAATAACTTTAATTTATCTCTTCCTAGGTCATGGTATGATCAGAAAATATGTATGTGTTTGAAATTTTAAAATGTATTACAATAAAATGCACATTCACATTAATCCTCCTCAAAATATTTGCCCTTGCTTTGAACACAGTTGTCACTTTCTGAAGCAGTTCTGGAAGTCCTTTCTGATGAGTGAGTGTCTTTAGTTGCACTAACATGGCTGCCTTGATACCCTGAATCAGTTCAAAATGCTTGTCTTTCATGGTCTTTGGGACTTTGAGGAAAAGCCAGAAGTTACATGGTGCCAGACCTGGTGAATAGTGTGTGAGAACACACCATCATGCTTTTTACAAGCCTGTCCTTCCATCGGATGGAACTCAGCAGCAACATTCACCACAGGTTTGCTCACTCCTCATAAAGATAGTCACGAAAGAAAACTTACAGAACTGCTTCAGAAAGTTGCAGGAACAATGAGGTAAGTGTGTTACCAGCAAGGAGGATTAATGGCAATATATCTTTTGCTATAATGAGTTTTTTTCTAATTTAAAGATTTAAGTTTTAATCACTCCTATATTGAATAAAATGAAGTGATATAGCCAGCAATGTATCCTAAATTCTCTGAGCTCCTTTCCACAGCTTTTAGCTTCATGGTAGATTGGTCATCATAGAACTGCTGGTTTCCATTCAAATATTTTAGAAATGATAGGTGATGATGTCATAAAGAACATTCCAGGACATTTTCTGGATGCAGCAAGCATTTAGAAAGAGAACTCACTGGGGTAGCTATGTTTAGATTGTGGAGGTTTTTGAGTGAGAAGGTGGTGTTAATAGTTCTATCAGAAAAGCCAGAGAAGCCATTTTCCTTTGAGTCTGATAGATCTTCTAGTTTTAAGGGAGTACCTATATTTAAACATGAGAAAAGTTGCTATTCTCTTAGATTATTTGTAGAACTAAGAAAACACTTGGATGAGAAATAGAAGTTTGATTTGTAAACAAGTAGCAGCAACTTGAATAAAGTAGGTCTTTTCTTATTTCTTAAACATGATATAATGGATGCAGCTAGAGACCATACAAGTGAAGTAAATCAGACTTGCATGTGTAACCATTGCATTGTCTCCCTAGTGCAAGAAACTGAAAGAGTAAATAAAATCTGAAAGGGACAGTAGATATTATGAAAGGGAAAGAAACTGCTCAAAAGGAAAGAGCAACTGGGATGAGAGAATGGAGAAAAGAAAAAAGGAAAAAAAATACAAGATAATTGTACTACTAGTCTCTGTTGGTTTATTGTGAGGAACAGTTAACGCTTATTTTTTTTTATCAATTTGCATGCCTATATTTGGTAATCTGAACAACTACTTTGAAGATAACAATATGTACTGTAACAACCATTGATGATTTCCTATCATCTTGTTTTCAAATTCTGTATTGTTTTTAATGCTTTTTAAAATTTTTATCCTCTTTTTAAAAAGTTACTTTGCTATTTATAGTAAATGAAAACACACAGCAGACAGCATGGATAGGCTCAGCATCAAGCTCTGGACACGGTGTTTTATTGTAGCAGGATTCGCACAAAGGTGAGACAATGAGGCTTTTTCCAGAAAGTACTGTGTATTTATGCTGTCCCGGGGTTGAGTAGGTTCATACCAAAAATGCTGAACCTCGAGTGTGGCAGGATTTTGCTTTTCATAAGGTTTTTGTCTTTGTCTCCTATAAATGGTAGCACACTATAATACCACAGACTGATTTAGTACAGTCTGTTACAGAGCAGTGCTAGAACTACACATGGGTATCTAGGAAAGAACTGAGCCATGTTGCCTTTCTGAGTGTGAGAGAGTTCCCCCTCCATCACATTCTTTCTGAAGGTGTCTTGCCACACTCCTCCAGGGAAGGGTCTTTCCACATAATGAATATGAATTTCTATCCCTGTGTAGTATCAATACAGGCCTTGGGATTGTCATTTGATAAATTTAATTTATTTTGTTTTATATAGCTATGGTCGGCTAAAGTCATTACAACTAGCTAAAATTTAAAATTCTTTGAAGCCTAATAGTGTTGTTTATATTGATAACTTCTTGATACTGTGAATTCCACAAACCATGGATACCATAGATGGTGCAAGAGAAAGCTCCCTAATTGCTTCACAAATTTTCTGTTGTTTAATTTCCTGAAAAGTTTTCTCCTTCTTTTATTATTGATCTAGAATAAAATGAAGAGTTAATATGATTCTATCTTTATCTCTTCTGCTCTACCTTTTCATTAAAAAAGCAATCATTGCAGTGGCCTTTTATATGTAAATTTTATTTTGCCTCCAACCATCATTTCCGCTGCATAGCAGCTAAAGCTTTAAACTACTGTGGCAAATAGAGGAGACTTACAGAGCTATACAATGTTTTCAGTTTCTATAGAACTTCCTTTAAAATTAGGTGACCAATCTTGCTTTAGTGCTGAGGTTACTCATTATGTTGTCAATGTCTAATCACCATCCTTTGGTCTACTATTTGTAATTTCTCTGTGCTGCAGTATCCTATTGCTATTGGATGCTACTTGAAAGAAAATCATTGATCTGTAACATACTCAAGAGTTTTGAAATCTTGGCATCAGAGTATATTGTACCTTTAGAATAAAAGAGATTTTCATTTTTTTTAAATAATTGCTTTGCAGTTCTTTTAATTCAACTCAATATTGCTCTTTATTAAACTTTTTAAAAGTCTTCATTGGTTTCTTTTGTTAAACTATTTCTGCATTCTTCACATAGCCTAGGATGGACTTACTAATTAAATAATTTAACTTTATCACTGCTCACCCAGGGACATTAAAATAATATATTAGTAAGCATGTTAATTTAAATACTGATCCTTAGCATGTCTAACTGTTTCATGATGGAGGCCATAGACCTGAAGTTAGTCTAAATTTCTTTACCCCATTAATAATACACTCCACATATCTTCCACTAATTTGGGGCTTATTTATTTCTATGTAAATCCTTTTTCAAAGAACCATATCAGATACTTTTGGGAAATCTGTATAATTTCAATCCTATGTGTCACCCTTCTATTTTTTTAATTTTAAATATCTTAGTTAAAAAGCAAATTTTCTATTATCATATTATACTTATCTATAAATTATACTTGTTACAGTGCCTTTAATTTCAGCTCATAAGTTAGAAGTCCTGAAATATCCATGAAAGGTGTTTTAAAATTTTTAATGCAAGGTTGATGACCATCACTCCATTTGATGACCTTTTATGTGTCCCATGACACTTCAGTTCCTCACTTTTGTTATTCCAGACACATTCAGGGTAAAGAGTATTACTGCATCACTGATACACTGAATTTAGTAGTACTTCAGTGACACCCTTAACTTCTAATACAATTAAAGACTTGGATTGGCAGCGCAGCAAAGTGAAAAGAGTACAGTCTTTGGAGTGAGATAAACTTGAAACTAATTTCTGTGTGTCACTGTCTTTCTTTATGTCCCTAAGAAAAATTATGTAAACTTTAAATTGCTGCATCATTATGAGAATTCACGGAGAGAACATGAAGAAAGCTACAGTACGTAGCAGTACTTAAATGTTTCTCCTTCTCTTGAGTTCAACCAGGTGAAAGCAAACCTAAATAGAGGAAGAAGCAACCAGAGCAGTGCCAGGACATCATGTGCTCAGCAATAGTTACTAGCTGTGTTGGGGAAGGGATCAATGGGGTCTGGCATGGTAGAAGAGAGAAAAGAGGAAGTAAGGCTTCTGGCCACACCTCCCTGCTCTTCACTGGTGTGAAATGTGAGCATGTTCTCTCCCCGCCCACCCTACCTGTAATTCTTTTTCAGAAACTATGTTTCATAAATTATGGTTTTGGCCTGGCATGGTGGTGTATACCTGTAATCCCAGCACTCAGGAGGCTGAGGCAGGAGGATCGCTACAAGTTCGAGGCCAGTGTGGACTATATAGCAAGACCTTGTCTTAAAAACATCAATCAATGAGTCAATCAATAGTGGATTTTTAAAAACATTTCTAAGGAATCGAAATGGCTTTATTGTTTGAAAATAAAAATATTAAAGTATCCAAATGTAAATACATTCTGGACTATTGCATGTATCCATTTTTTAACTTATGCAGGATATAGGGATTTTTTTTTTTTAAGAAAAGGGAGTTGTTTTCCCTCTGGAAGAACTTTCAGAAGAGTGAATATTCCATCTCTACAGGAAAAAGCATCTCAGCTCTGCTGTATCCAAGGACTGCCTGTGCAGTGGGTGCCTGGGAAGAGAAAAGGTGTTGAGATGAGATTTCATTGGGCAGTGGCTCCTTCAGTTATTCAAGATGAATGAAGTCAATACATAATTTAAATAAGCTACAGGAAAATAATAGTTCTGGTGGCAACTGTCCAGCAGTGTTTTACACCTTAAAACATTCATGGAAAAGTGCAGTCAGTAGAAACAAATGAGGATGACCTGTATAAGACTTTCTAGAGATTAATCCAAGAAAGCCAGAATTTAGATGCCTTTCAAAAAGAGGAAATGGAAGGCAAAGGGAGCAGGAAGGATACAGTAGTTGTCGCACGACTTTGTTTTGACCAGTGATTTTCTACATGTTAGCAGATGACTCCCACTCACACTTTGTGACTTATGTACCATACCTTTATTCCTCATCCAGACTGTGTAATCAGTTAAATCTTTTTTATATGGCTAAGTGCATAGGACACGGTGTGTTATTTGGAAGTCATAGTAACCATTCGTCAAACAGGGAAAAATGCAGTCTGTTCTTGTCTTCTCTGTGTATGGATCTGAAATGGGGACTCCAGTCAGAATGCAACTGACTTAGATTTAACACACTTTGGAATACATAATACCTCTATCATCATATGCACACTAAAAATGGCATTTAGAGTGCAAAAGCCAAGGGCCGGGATGTAGCTCAGCAGCACAGTGCCTACCCAGCAAGCATGAGGTTGTGAGTTTGATTGCCAGTACCCCCCCCCAAAATGCAAAAGCCCTTTTATTCCTTTGTTTCTCCTTTCGCTGTATGTGTGCATGAGCGTGTGTGTGTGTGTGTGTGTGTATGTGTGTAAATGAATAAATACGGTGGAAGGAGAGTTCTCCTCCATGTTAAACATTTTACATTAGATTTTTACAAAATCTGCGTAGTTTCCTAAACCATTTGAGTTAGGGTGCTCAGGATAATATCCTCAAGGATGTATGCTATTTACAGATAATGAAGATTATTAGAAAGGTTAGCATTTCTCAAGAGTTGGGTATATTAAAAAGTAGAAACAAAAATGCTATTTTCTTTTGGAAAATGAAAAAACATGTAAGCTTTTTTCAACAACTAAGAAAATACCTAGGACAGATGATCTGAATCCGTAGGATCTTGCTTTTAGCTCTTGTCTTTAAAACATCAATTTTAGTATACCATCTAGTTTTGCATTTTCATTGGAATGTAAATTATGTCATAAAATCCCTCTGGAGGAAAATTCTCAGTACAGTTAATTTCTCTAACGTACCCTGCTAATACTGCAGAATAATTCATTATTTTCAGAAAACTTTACTGTGTCATTCTTCATAGGAATAAAAGGGAATACTGGACTCAGCTAAAGCTTTTTTATGTGATTCAGAGTTCAGTAAGTGTCTATCTAGGAGTATTTTTTTTTGTTTTTTGTTTTTTTTTTTTTTTTTTTGAGTGTCCTTCTCCCTGTTCCTGACATCCTCTGGATTCCCTGAAAATTATTTTGTTACCAGTCTGTCTATCATAATAATTTAGAGCATTTCCTAAGTCCCTCGATGCTATCTTATACTAAGTGAGTTAAAAAGATATGGTCTCTTCCTTCTTTGAGTTTTTAATGTAGGAGAATAACGATAGCAAAGGAAGTAATAAGGAAATTCAGAAATATGAGCACATGTTAAGACTTTGTAATCATTGAATCATAAAAAAATTTGAGGGAAAGGAAATTTAAATATACTTAAGTATAATTATCACATTTTGAAGGTGAAATTGAATCTCATGTAAGTGAGTTGCCTGAGTTCCTGAACAAAGTAGAAGAAATTGAACTAAAACATCATCTCTTTTTTGACCACTGTTCTTATGAACCAGGCTTGCAAGACAGTACAATGTAAGTAATACCTTTAACCTCTTCTACCAAGTAGAGAGATTAAAATTAAATTAAATTTTAAAATTTTAAAATTAAATTAAAATTTTTAAAATGTTTTCTGGGGTTACCTATTGGAGGCAAATCAATGGTGTGCTCCTTCTGTACAAAAATGTTATTTTAGCATTTGTGTAATGCTTAACAAAGAATGAAAATCCGTAAAATGCAGAAGAATAGAAGAGATTGGCTTAGTTGAATGGAAAAATTTTGCATGGGAGCCTAGACTTTGTGGGCTTCCTGCCATCCTTGTATAGGTCTCAGACTCTTTGCAGGCCAAATAAATTAGCAGGAGCATCTAAAAGAATAATTAAGGCCTAATGAAGATCCCAAAAGATTATCTAACCAGAATATCTAAGATTCCTTTATCTACAGGTCTAGATTAAGTCATGTGAGAATTTCCATAGAGAGAGTATATTTGACCGGATGAAATGTGTTAAAGACAAATAATTAATAAATTTTCCTGAGATTTTGTGGGTGAGATAAAAGCATTAGACTGGGTGGTAAAATAGTTGGGTGGATTCATATTATGTTATGTTCTTCAGCAGAACTAGTTTCTGTTGCAAGTAAATAAATTAAGCCAAAGGGAATTTATTACAAGGACTTTAGGCATCTCATGAATCTGCAGAAGGGTTCAAAGTTATGTGTTAGCAATAATACACAAAATTAGACCTCATTTAAAAAGATAAGGAAGGGCACTTTTGTGAGGACTATAAATTTGTACAAATATTTGGCAAATTAATTTGGTTCTGTTAAAATGGAAAATTCACACTATGACATACACAAACTACATGGTTAGACATCTACTCTATAGAATTAAAATAAACATTTTATAAAGAGACAATCACACTTGTTTATTGAAGCATTTTTAGTAGTGTTTCATAAATGAGAAGTGAGAACATAAATATGCATGGAAATCATTCATATAAGAATGATAGCATATGCTATGTACTTGCTAGTGTTTCTTCTCAAGAAATAAGAAATGTACAGTGTATTAATCTTAGAAGTTGTACTTATTACATGTTGATAAATATATAACACAGTGTTCATAGACACAGATTATGGAGCCAGGTGACTGGATTTGTGTGAGAGGTTTACGGGTCTTAGTTCTATGATCTAAAGATATGCCTCTTAGCTCATCGATACTTTGGTGTCCTCGCATGTAAAATGAAAATAATGAAAACCCTTAGCCAGAAGTTTGTACATTCAAATTTTAGTATCGATTAACTATTCTGGCATGGAGTTCTCGGTTCTTTAGAGTTTTGGAAGGAATTTAACTTAGTTTACGTAATTTTAATAAGGAACATGGGTGATTTTACTTTTGGAATGGTTGTTTTCCTTATAAAATACCCTGGTGCACAAATCTACTGTAATTAATGCAAGATTTTCTTTGTTTGTAGACATGTAGATTCTTTAAAGCACTTTTAAAGTCATTTAACATAGCATGAATAACATCAATAAAGTGTTCAGGCAGAAGTTATCATGAGCTATGTCACTGTTGGAGAAAAGGATGGAGTATATGTGCTGTTTAGGTGATTAGCTAATGAATGAGGAGGAATACTGGTGAGCCTCTGCTACTGCATTAAAAAGACAGTACAAATAAAATGTTCTCAAGGAGGAAGATAGAGTATATAGTTGGAAAATACATGTGAGGTTATAAATGAAAGTAAGTCTTATAAAATACATTGAGAATTTGATACTCTTCCTTAGTGTAATGTGTAGTTTAGCTGAGATCTTAAAAAATGGACATTGGTGGTCTTCATTTTTTTTTTTTTAGAATAGAGCTTTTATTGGTGGAGGAGGCAAATTATGTGAAGAAGGAATGTCTAGGAACCAGAAAATTGAAGGTCAAGAAAATCGGGATAAGCAAAGTGAAAGATACATTGCATTTGTACTTTCAAGCTAAGGGAAGTGATGGTCTAGATAAAGATCAATGAAATATTGGCAAGAAAATCTGACAAAGAGAAAAAAAAAAACGATGAGTCAGAAACAATCCTAAGATACTTAGCTTCTGAGAGAAAAAAATTAAAGATTTGCCTAAACTTATGAACAAGATACCTGTAAGGATAGGATCTTTGTTGTACCTAATCATATGGGTTCTAATAATTGGATTAAGTAAATGTGACAATTTTAATAGCCTCACACATTGCACTTAAATTATCACTTCTTTTGTTCTTAGTTGTGTTAATGTATCTGTGAGCATTTCAGCTATCACACACTGTCTTTCTCAGTGCTCCTTGAACTAATGAGAGAACAAATGAGCAAATAGGTATACAAATAAGCAATGTTTAGCAGAGAGTTGTTTCCATTGGGCTGGCGCCGTGGGTGGAAGTAGGTGTTTAGCTGATCTCAGGTTAAAGAGGGAATTTGGTGTTCATTGTGACCTTATGTGTACCTTGCCCAACCCATGCCAACTAGACGGAGGTGCCCAGGGTCTGGAAGCCACCATGGTCATCTTTGATGCGCTAGGCCATTCATCCTACACAGGTCTCATCATGCCTACATGGGAGTCTAGAGAGTAGCAGTGACTAAAATCATGATGCTGCCTGTATTTTTAGTTTCTATATCATTTTGAGATTTAAATCTTATTACTACATCTTTAATAATTTGGAAAAGTTTTCTATTTTGAATTTCTGAAGATTTCACCATTTATCAATAAAAAATTTGACCAGAAATTTGGCCATTTGACTCAGACAACTTCATTTTTGTGTACAACAGTGCTTTTCCATGATGAACTAAAGGTGCATTGTAAGCCTTGGTATTTGTACCTCAGAGAATATGTGCCTGTTTGCCAGACCAACAGAAGGTCATAACTGATTGCAGGTATCCATCAGTAGCAACAACTTACTTGAAAATTTAAGGAAATAAAATAGAAAATTTAATTTTGTGAGGTGATCAACAGTAATAAGCTTGGTTTCATAATCATTTACATATGTGTATATATATGTATTTTCAAAACGTTGAATACCTTAAATATGCATAATTTTATTTGTCAATTGTTCTTCAAAAAAAGGAATTTTTTTAAAAGAAAAATAATACTTTGTCTCTATTGAAATAATACTTCATATATACATTTGCGAAGTTTGAAAAAGTAATGCAACATAGAAGTGCTTGGAGATTGAGAAATGATGCCACTTCTTGGTTTATATTCTTTGAGGCAAGGCTAATGATGCCTTTTGTTCACTTATTTTCATACCTTTGGATCTTCTCCACATTGTTTTAAAGGACTAATCCATAGCAGGAAGTACACAACTGATTTAAACTTGCATTTGTTATAATATTAACTATTTGGAGATCATTTGTATCTGTGTCTTGAGTTTCATATGGCTTTATGTAGGTGAATACAACAGTTGCATTAAATTCAAAAGTGTAAGTATATATGTTTTAACTTTATTTTGAGCAGATTTGTTTTAAAGATGTACTCATTAAAGACAATCAAAACTTGGTCTTCTAAAATGCACAAAATACCATTTGATATTGAACATTGGAAAATCCGTCAAATGATTGACAACAAAGGGATAAAATATTAAATGTTTTATCTGGAAATAGCTAAAAAAGAAAACTAAGTGGGAGTAGTGAGGAATGTTCGAGTTCTTTCACTTATCTCCAGCCTTATCGTAGATCATATTTTATTTCAGCTCTGGTTTGCCCCCTTCTCTGCATTTATCAGGGTTCCTTCATGTTCACCTGGCTAATCTGAATACTAAATATAACAAATGGGTGTTTGGAAGCTTAAAGTGATGACTTTCAAAGGGGCTATTATCATTTATCATGGAAATGAATTCAGCCCACTGATGATAATTTAGCTGACAAGTAAAATGAGCATCATATGTCTATAAAGTGAAGTTTTCAGATATTCAACTTGCTCAAAATAATGTTTTCTAAAATGTTATATTGCGTTGAATATTGTGTTCACAGGAGAAACTTCATCAATCAGCAAATTCTCTGTCTAACAATTGTAGAAAGATAGATTTGTTTCCACCAATTCAATGAGCAAACTTTCATAATTTTTATGAATATTCCATTGTATCTTTCAAATGTGTGTGTGCTCTGTGTTATAGTTCTGTGACCATCCTGGGTTCTAGAATTACAAGTCTCTGGAATTGAGTCCTGTTTTCAAAGGGAGTGTATAATACTGCTTTAATTTCTTCATCTGATGGCAGTACTGACTTTGTGACCATTGGGTTATGAGATAATGTATGCAAAAGTGCTCAGAACAACAGTTCCTGTGGTTCCCAAATCATGAAGCAAGTATGCAGTGGCCCACCAAAAACTCACCAGGGTGCTGCACAACATTTTAATCTTCTGAGAAACACATGGATTGCCAGTCATGGGAGTTCAGTTACAATATAGATCATGCTCTGTTTGGGAGGATACCCTTTACAAGACTGAGTTTTCATCAGTTTAAATAAAGCAAGTGCCATGTGAAAATCATCATGTAACAGGACATGAGGGTGGTGTATCTAATTTAAGAATTTCTGCAATGCCTAACAGGCATATACATTCTTTTAGTAACTGTGATTGAGAATTAATTGAAACTATGATTTTGTTCAATTCACGTGTGTTATGTTTCTAAATGGCTACTAAGTTGGTAGCCCAGAAATAATCAGATTGTGTGGACCTTCCTATTTAACAGAATTAGTTGGTATTTACTGTACTTTGGTATAAAAGCACTATGCAAACGGTACTAAGACACTAAAGATGTCGCAAACCAAGAACATGTGGAACCTTCTGGCTAGGTGTCTCCTTCTGCAAATGTGTCCTCAATAAGGGTTGGTTGATGCTTTTGCACTGATTCTTAGAAAGTCACAAGGATTTTCTGCAGTTTAATTGAAATTCCTTCATAATCATTTTAATTCTGTTTAATGACAGCATGAATAGGAAAAAAGAGTGAAAAGAGGCAAGAAAATGACATGGTAGAAATTGAGCTGTCTGACTATAAGAGCAGAAATGACAGCCACATCCAGGGAGGAGAAGTTGAGAAGCTGCCTCCTGCAGATGAGGAGAGGAGGGGCCAACATAATCACTGCCCGAGAGTCAGACAAAACCTCCACACACCCTCCCACCCAGCCTGCAGAAACAGCGACATGACTTAGTTGTACCCAGATTAGGAGCACCGTACAGAGAGAAGGAAGGAAAGCTAAGGAGTTCAGGGCCAGACAGTAGGACAGAGAAAACCCGCAGCCCAGCTGAAGTTGGCCAGTGTCTTGGTGCTCAGGCCAGGGCATCAGGTGCTCTCAAACAGAGAGTCTCCTGCCCAGAGGCTGCCTAGAAGTATGGGGTTCCAAACCACAGCTGAGCACATTTTCAAAGGGAGAGATTGGACTGGGTTGCCATTCTCAGGAGTAATGACAGGCACACCACCAACCAAACTCTTGAGCACAGAGCAGGTAGGGGCAACATGAGACATCCCTTCCTTTACCTACTTGAGGTCTCTGGACGGAGTGAAGAGGTTCACGTACAGGGAAAATTATTCTATGAATCTGCACCCTTGCTGTGCCTCTAAGCAAATGGCCCATGGAAACACTTGTAACATCTGGAAAACATTTTCTTAATGGAAATACAGAACATGATTAGTTAATTCCTTTAAAAATATTCCTTTAGGAACATATATTCTTCTAGCTACCTTCTTTTATTTTCCCCCTCCAAGTTAAATTATATCACTTTTTATTTCATCAAAGGACCCATTCTACACTGAATAAACTCTCTAACTACTAAATTTAATTTTAATTTTAGAAAAGTTCTCTCTCTAGAGAAGCCTCTCCCAAAATGAAGCTGTGTTTCATTTTAAGTTTATAATTAATTTCTGTTATTCCTGTGGTAATAACTGTAATGCTGAAATTTGTTATACATCAATTAAAGAAATTTTGAAATTATGGACATTTGAATAACCATTATTTTGCCATGTAATTTTACATGTAAATATGCACAGTGCATAGATATAGATGTAGACATAGACATAGATATAGAATTTTCAGGGATATATATTGAGAAATGCCACTGATGTTAAGTGAATTAAAATTCTACTTTCAGCATGAAAATATTACCAATAAAAGTAAAAATATTTTAGAGAGCTTAATTTCCTCAGAATCACATGCCATGAGTCACATGTCTAAAATAATAACTATGTCTGTTAATGTTGTCCTCCTTTTATTTTTAAAATTAAAAAATAAAATAATAACTAGCTCGGATCTTCCTCAAAACTCATATCTGCAGAGATTTTTAGCAGCTCTTTAATTAATACTCAGGATGCCCTGATCACAAGGTTTTTCTGTGGTTTCATTGTCATTAATGCATATTAATGACATTAGACAAATAAAATGCCTTTCATAATTGCTTATCTCAAACCACTGTAAAAACCAAATATGGAACAATTAAAAATTCATTTGTGGTTTGTGGCTGTGCATTTGATGCTATAAGGCTAAGTGGTGGACCCGTAAGTGTCCTCTTTGGATTTGTGTGTTTGGTTACAAGTCCAGTAGCTGCCTTGGTCATATTTTATAGATAACTTCAGTCAAGGGAGAGTGGGCATGATAACAGTGTACACAGGCACAAATAGATTTTCAAAATAACTCAAGGGAAAGACATTGGATTGTTTATTTCCAAAGCTAAACAATTAGACAGTGCCTTACTGGCAAACACAAGATCATGAATTTGATTCCCAGTACAAAAGAAAAAAAAGTTAGGGTCAGGTGATACACACTTATATCCTTTTCACCTTTCATGCAGAACACTTCTAGATATAAGAGTTTTTCATGCATTTGTAAAAAAGAAAACTTTGCTTCACTGGTAATACCATCATTAAAATAATGTTATAGGTATATGATTATTTTGAAGTTTCTAGATGATTTTTAGATTTAATTCCCTACTCCTAATCATATATATTAGCACTTTCTGTTGCATTCACAGAATGCAATGTGCAACATTTAAAATGTCCTCAGTGAACTCAAGAATGAACACAGGAATATAAGAAGGGGAATGATAAGGTCTTTCTTGGTGGGTGAATCAAATAGGATCTTGTGTGTTATTCTAAGAACTTATTTTGCAGTATGAGAAGCCTTAAAGGATTTTTAACTGACATTGTCATAGTCCTGCTGCATCCTGTGGGGTTAGAGGTTGTGCAGGGTGGAAACTAGAATCCTTTCAAGAAGCCCAAAGGAGTAAGTCTGGGAGGACATAATAGTGACTTCTATTTTGGGTATTAAGGGTTGATTGAATGATTGAGTGGATGCATGGTGTTGGAAACAGAAAAGCTAAAGATGGTACAGATATTTTTGTCCTGAGGAATTGGAGGTATGACTTGATTTACTGAGCAAAAAGTTGCAGATTTTGTGACTGCCATCAGAAGATAGGCTCTGGACATTGTGAATAAAGGCTAAAATTTGGAATAGAGATCTAGACTGAGATATATATTTGGGAGTTCCCATTGTTTGTAATCTAGGCATAAAATTTTAACAGCTTGCAATTTCTTTTTGTAATTTGTATCAGAAAAGCACTAAGTAAGGCTGTAGTGAGTTACAGATATTTTTCTTTTATTCAGGTAATTTCATTTGTTGTTCAAATATAAGCTAATTGTTTTAGGATCTGAAGGGCGTTAAGGATTATAGGTATAAATGGTTTGTGCATACTGGCTAACACAAGATATTGTTCATCATTACTAGTGAACTTTGGCAATGGTAATACTAAGAGAAATTGTATTTTCATTCTCTCAATCCAGTTAGTTATTAGAATTTCAAGTCTGGAATAGTGAAAGCCTTTTCTTAGAATAGTGGATAGGCATTTGCATTATTGGTTAATACAATTAAAATAAAGTTTACAACATAAAGCATGTAATACTATGTAACCTGCTGTATTTTTTTTTAAGTTTGATGAATATCCCCGTGTGAGGCATCAGTTTTTTATGGAATCAAGCTGAATCAAGAAGAGATAAATGCTTACTTAAATAAGTGGAAGGAAAAGTAAAATATATACTTTTGAGTTTCTCCTCTGAGAACATTCTTAATGTAAGATGAAAGCTGTTGGATTTTAAGCATTACAAACAGGCAACGTGTTTCTTAAACATCATAATGCTTGATAGTGTTCTCTCCTAAGGGAGATATTTCCCTGCTAGGTTTGCTTTGAAATTTCACACAGGAAATACCCTTTTACTTGGTTTTTGCTGAAGCATAAAATTTGAGAAAGTTATGAAAAGGTAGTGTGCCTTTTAAAGATCTGAAATCCCATTCATCCTTTGCAAAAGATTTTATGACTTTTCTGTTTCACCTGGTTCAGTCACCCAGTCTCAAGGGTGACTCACCATCACCCCTGTTCTGCCCAGGACTAAGTGCATCACGTACATCTCAGGTGCCTTGTTCTGACCCTGTGATCCTTTTCTATACAGTATTCCCTTAAAACTAGTACTCACTTACTCTATGAAACCCCAAAATTTTTTCAACATTTTATTATGAAATTTCAAGTATGCACAAAAATTAAAATAATTATTCAGGTGAGACATATCTATTTAATACCTAGATTTTACAGTTAACATTTTCCTTTATTAACTTTATCATATTATCATTTGTCTATGTATTTCTGTAATCATTCTTCAATCTATTGGTCTTTGACACAGGGTCTGTTTGTGTAGTTCAGGAAAAATTTGAACTCAGGGTGATCCTTCTGTTCCACTATCCCTGGAGAATCTTATTTTTCGATATGTCCCCAAGTGTAGACATCAGTACACTTTATCCCAAAAGAATTTTTATAATGATATAATTAACATGATGTTATTTTAATAAAATTGTACATCATAAGTATATAAACACATTACATTTCTGTACTCTATAATATACTATATAATATCTGCCATTATATATTATAAAAATATAATTATTGTGATATTATAATTATATACATACATAATTTAGAACTCTACATTGTTGATGGTTCTGTCTTGGTTACTTTTCTTTCATTGCTGAGACAAAATACCTGATGCTGAGAATTAAGGAAGGAAAGCTTTATTTAGCTCACAGTTTGTGGAGGTTTCAGTCCATAGTCATCTGGCTCCAAGGCAAGGTGGCACATGGCAGAGGGCAATTGTTTATGGTGGCTGAAAACAGCAAAAGCAGCAAGAGCAAAAAGGGAAGAGAGGCAGAGAGCAAGCCTCTTTCATCCCTTTATATTGTATGCAAGCTACCAGCCCCTGAGTGAGAGTGGCACTCACACCCATAATCCCAGCATTGGACCATGAGTCACTCATAAACTCTAGAAGCCTGCCCGATGACTTCCTGAGGCTTTTGGGGGCCATCTAGACACACACCATAACAGGACCTTTTTAAAAGTAAAATTTATCAGTGATGAAATGTGCTGATGTCAAGTGTCTCACTGGAAGGTTTTGACAGCTGCATATGCCTGTGTAATGCCAGCCCCTTAGAGACATTATCTGCACCTCAGAAAATCACCTTCCACAGTTAACACAGAGCCTCTAATGACAACCACTGTTTTATTTGCTTGTTTGTTTGTTTGTTTTTTAATAACTGCTATTTTCTATTGAAATGATATGGTATGAATTCTCTTTTCTTTAAGTAAGGGCATCTTTCATTCAGTATGTCTTCAGAGATAGCCAAGTACTGGGTACACTGGTAGTTAGCCTTACTAATGTTGGTAATAGCCTACTACATGAATATTCCACAAGTTATCTGTCTGGTCTTTTGTTGGTGATCTGGGGTATTTCCAGTTTGGGATTATATGAAGTCAATATGACCTTCCCCCTTCTTAAGTATAACTCATCTTTTATCTAAGAAATAACCTTTTCCCTCAAAAAAAAAAAATAAAAAGAATTTTATTTAATCATGTTTAATATAATCTGTGCATTAAACCTTATAGTAATTTCTAAGACTATTTGTATATAAGGAAAGACTTTTTCTTGGAGACTTGAAAGAATAGGTCCTAAGAGTGTTTTTGTGCCCTGAAAACTATTCTCTTTAGCTACCTTTTCTAGCCAGTGATTTACAAAGGGTGATCAAAATATATAGTGAATTTAAATTAAAACACTTTATGAAAGTAAGAGACTTACTGCTATTGATTACCCTCAAAATATTCTTCCTTATTTCCATCATACTTGTGCATCATTCTTGCTGTTTTCTGAAGCTATTCTGGAAGTTTCTTTCCTGGAGGCATAATCAAAAATACTGTAAATATTTCTACTGAGTGTCATGCAAAAGAGAAATAAGCTCATAAGAACATTGTGGTATGTCTTCATTCACCATATTTACCAGATTTTGCACCTTGTGACTTTGGGCTCTTCTTCAAAGTCAAAGTAACCATGACTAGTAAATGTTTTGAATAAATTCAGCACATTAAGGCAGCCAGGGTAGCACAACTGAACATACTCAGGAAAGAGGCCTTCCAGAGCAGCTTCAGAAGGTGGCAAGAATGACTGGATAAACATGTTTGAAGTGAAGGGGAGGCTTTTGAGAGAGATTACCATCAGTGTGTCTTTTATAATAGAAATTTTGAAAAAAAATAAAGCATTCCTTACTTTTCAGTCAGTTTGTACTCTGTAAAGATCTTCCTTTTAGAGAATCCCTTGAATTTCTTTTGCTTTTCTGCTCCTTAGGTTGTATTTGCTCCTATAGTCATGTTAATTTGGGGGCAAAAAAAGTTTCCCACCTTCCATACACAAAGTAAGAAAACCTTCTTGGGAAGGACAATTACAAAGTCCGAGGTAATGACCGCCTAAAAATCCTAAAGTTCATCCAGGCTTTCTCATAAGACTGTTAACTATCAGCATACGCTGAGTTTTAGAGTGATGGCTACATTTGCTAGCATAACCTGTTATATAACTGTTTATGACCACTTGGTATCAGAAGATTTCAGTCAGAGTTTTATGGTTTCCCTTCTCAGAGTCTTCAGAAATCAAATCACCAAGGTCACCATGACATATGCTTTTGGTTAAATGCCCCTGTGACTGAATAGTCAGAGCACAGCACATAGCGCTGGTCATAGGCCTGGATTTTTACACTTCTGCATTCTAGGCAAGAAAGAGGATCACAAGAGGAGATACATATATGTATCCTCTCATGAAATATTTCTTTCAAAGAGCATTGCATCTCACGCCAAATTATTGTATTTGATTAAAGATAAAGCCCAGCATCCAATTATTGCATTTTCCTTCTCTTGCTTGTGTTTTCAACTAATATCATAGAACCTTTTTATTTACTCAACCAGATTGACAAGATTATAAATGAGAGCTGTGTGTGGAAGCCTCTAATTTTTCATAAGTAAATGAATTAATTTATCATTGCTGTGTTGTTTTATTGCTGTCTCCATGCCAGACTGCCCTGCTCCTTTATTCCCCCTTTTGCCTTAGAAACATTGGATCCATGTCATCGTGTTTGACAGGTTTCTGATTCCCCTGTCAGATGCAATTTGGTGCTAATCACATTTCCTTTGCTCAGTGTCAATGATGCAAGTCATGCATAATATTCCTATGTGTCCACTCCCTCACTTGCAGTGCAGCTGGAATATCTTGGGCATTAATCTGATAGAATACCACATTGAAATGTAAAAGTGATACTTGAACAGTAAGGTAATGTGGTCAGGCAGATGTGCAGTGGATAAGTGAGGCTAAACTGGTGGTCTTTTCTAAGCTTTGATGAATTTTATTTCATTTCTGAATATCTCCTTACAAACTTGTGACTATTTAATCAGTGGTTGTTCATTAGACCTTTAGCATTTTTAATAGAACTCATTCATTGTCCATGTATGAAGGAATGAGGGTTATTTTTCCCATTAAAAGGGATGCTGTAGGTAGTTCTGTTTAATGTGGAAGAGAATGATTATTTAAGATCATGTAATGTGTAAAAATCTAGGGAAATAGCTAACAATCCAGAGAAATCTGTTTACAGAAAAATAAGCCAAATTCTAGCATAGATTAGGTCAAAAACAATATACCTTTGTTTAGCTCATTTTAGACAAAAACAAACACTATGATTAGAGGGTTTGGGTAGATTTGGGAAGGTGATTGTTGTTTATTTTCCAAGACTAGGGTAAATGTTTTGACAATTATAGAATGGGGAAAGGAAGTACTCAAAAGATATAGAAAAAGGAACATGAGCAGAATCAGAGGTATGGGAGCCATTGTTTATCCAGTAAATAGCAGTTACTATAGTGATGGTAAATAAGAGTAGAACAGCAATTCAGGATCATATAGAAAAAGTTTATTTATGGATAAGAGGTATTTTTTTAAGCAAGGCTGTGTCATGATTGTATTTGAATTTTAGAAAAAAGGAATTTGAAGGTAGTGTGTAAGGAGGATTAGAAAGGGAAAAAAAAATGTCATCCAACCAGGACTGTTGTAATAGGCCAGGGGAGGGGTCAGGGCCCACACAAGGGCTGTGGCAGTGGCATAGAAAAGCTGTGACAGATGTAAAGGCAGTTCTACATCTACACAGTTATGCAGTTAATGGTTTTTGCAAGATGGACTAGAACAGGTAAGGGGGAAAGAATAAAACATTTACCGGATGTTAAGATGAAATGGGGGCTCTGGATTGTCATCCCTTTAAGTGAGAACACAAACAGATATGTGAATAATGGTAGATAATGCATTCGGTTTGGGTTATGCTGCATTTGAGGTCCGCATGGGACAGCCAAATAGCAATGAATAGTGGTCAGGAGGTGGAGATATTCCTGATGAATACCATAGGTACAGTAAATAATTGAAATTATGGGAATTGGGTTGCAGTTTCTTAAGGGGTATGCGTATGAAGGAAAGACGTAAATAAGCAATGAAACCTTGGCAATAAGGCTGAATTTTTGGAGAAAATTGTATCTAACTGAATTGAGGAAAAAGTAAGAAATTATCAGGAAAAGAGAAGTTGGTTGTGGAGGTGATGGTAAGCACTCTCAGGTACAGCAAAATGTTTAGGAAAGAGGAGCAAGTAGGAGATCCTGTTGAATTAATACATAACACATGTAGGAGATGTTTCTGTTGTTGTCACCATTTGTTTAGGGATTATTTACTGAGTATTAAGTTCATGGTGGTTTCAATGAATTATAGTATGAGAACTAGAAGCCTCATTTCATTTGACTGAGAAATGAATGGATGGTGTGGAGTTGAAGACTGCTCATTATTGACAGTTCTTCCAAAGACCTTGGTGGTGAAGGAGATGGATGACCATTGCAGTTGTAGGTTGGAGGGCAAATGAAAACATAAAATGTCTTATTCTTCTTTTGTAAATAGGGCATACATTTTAGATGGAAGGTAGATATCACCTGCAAGGACAATGAGGAAGATTTGTTAGCTAAGGTAGCAAAACTATCTTAAATATTATAATCTTGTGTACCTACAATACTGACAGAATCTTAGTATTTAATTTCTCTCATGTGATATTCTTGGATATAACTGTAGCAGCATTGACTATATTTATGAAAGATATGCAAACTACACATAATCTTAGCTGTATAAACAGTGAAGATATACAGTTTGAGTGTGGGACTTTCAGTCTATTTCTAGACCTTGAGTTTATAAACTAAGATATGTTCCTTTTTGCTTGTGAGTGACCATTGGTGGCCTTTTGGATATTGTTTATGTTTGATTGTCATTGTTTCTGCTTGTGCGCTTTGAAATTTAAATAAGATTAGTTAATATCTTGTCATTTAATCTTACAAAAGTTAGTGAACTCATTAATTAAGTCAAGTGCTGGAAAGAAAATATGTTGGTAATATATGATTTGATAATCTAGTTGTAGTAGCTAGTTAAACACTTTTTTTGGAGAGCTACAGATATAACACAGTGGCACAGGACTTGCATACTGTTTTCAAGGCCTTGTGTTCAATCTCTAGCACCACAAAATTAAAAAAAAAATATTGTATTAAGCAAAATAAGTTTCTTAAAGATGAATTTTAACCCCAGAATGGTGGTGCATGACTGTAATCCCACATACTCAAAACGCTGAGGTGAAAGGTTGCAAGTTTGAGGGCAGCCTGGGCAACTTAGAGAGATTGCATCTGAAAAATGCACACACAAAAAATCCCCAATACATAAATAGTAAAAAAAAATGTGTACAGTATAATTATAAAATGCATAAATATTTTTATTTATAAATTCTTTTATTTGTCCTAGAAATACAACTTTGAATGATTTTTTAAAATCTTTATTGCATCACTTATATATGTGTGCAAATTGATTTACATGTGAAATTTGGTATATTATACTTTATGTAAAGCATAAATTTAACAGTTCTTCAATAGATAGTTATAAAACTAAGTTAAATATTACTAGCTTTTAAATTTTTAATTAAACTTTTACTTTAAAATATATTTAGTCACTTTTAACCCTTACATTTATTTATTTTATGTATACATATAGTACATAAACAGATATAGAGTATTTTAAAAATTCAGTAGAGGTGACAATTAAAAAAGCAATGTCTAAAAAGGCTTACTGGAGGAAAACTACTGGAAAAAAGGTGATAAATACAGAGATAGAAGAATATTAACATTTTCTTACTTTTGTTTCTATAAGTCTATCAGTAAGATTTCCTGTGACATTATTGATAGCAATTGTATTTAAAAATAGAATGAAGCCTATATTTGAGACACAAATACCTATAGAGGATATATAATTACTGATAATTTTTATACCCAGAGAATCTTTTCAGAGATAATTTTGATTCACAAAAAATAATGGTCACAGTTTTGAGATTGAAATATATAAAATGTTAAGTCAAATGTTAATGATCAGAATTGCATTTTGACCTGATCTAGAATTTTTAGGGGACTGAGGACATGTTATAAATGTGTTTCTTGCCTTAGGACGTAGTAATTGATAAATGGTGTTGCAAAACTGAGCTCATAGAGGGACTCTGAAAAGAAAGATTTAAGCCCAGCATGTTACACAGAAAGCTGTAATAGGGTTCACTAAAGCCACTAAGGTATAGTGAAGTGGACTTTTGAACAAACTGATGTTATGAGTTTTGTCTTGAAAGAGTAAAAGGATGAAAAATGTGTGAACTGAGTATGCAACACAACAGCAATAATGTTAATCCTCAGTGAATTCTTAAAGAAGAGAAAGATTACCCGGGGACAGAGGAGGAAAACCATCTTGGCTTTCACTGGGGGAAGACGCTTTTTGCTTTGAGCTGCCACACTGTTAAAGGAATGAATATTTGTACAGTCTTGGTAACAATCCATTCTAATGATGCTGATTGTTTCTTGTAGCTTGCTTTTGACTGCATTTTAGCAAGATTTTAAAGTAGTATTTTCAAATGAGTATTGATTTTACTGATTAGTTTCTTTTATAATGTTAAGATTAAAAAGTTAAAGGCACCTCTCTCTCTCTCTCTCTCTCTCTCTCTCTCTCTCTATATATATATATATATATATATATATATATGAATTCCATATATTAGAAATCATCTGAGAAGCTGGGCATGATTGTACACACCCATAACTCCAGAACTCTGAGAGGCTGAGGCAGGGGATCACAAGTTAGAGTGCAGCCTGCACAATTTAGCAATTTAACCAGATCCTTTCTCAAATAAAATAAAATAAAATAAAATAAAATGAAATAAAATACCTGGGGATGTAGCACAGTATGACGGTCCCAGTCGGTTCAATCCCCAGTACTTAAAAAAAAGAGACAGAGATCTTAGTTAGTTAATATTAAAGTTATTAAAAGTTATCTATGAGTAGTCTCTTAAAAGACTTGGCTCCCTCTTAAATGTCTTCTCACAATCTCTGTGAAAACAGTTATTCAGTAGTATCAGTCCCCACTGTGTGTAGAGTTCTGTGATAGAAACATTGGGGTTAAAAAGAAAGACACTTTGTCATAGCTTTCAAGGAGCTTTAAATTTAATGAAAAAGATATGTACACATCTCAGACTCTTCACAAACTAAAATAAGTGAAAATGCAATGCAAATGATATTTGTAAGTGCTGAATTGGGTTCACAGTAATGGAGAGATCAGTGAGGTTAAGAAAGACAGCTTTCCAGAAACTAAATCTTGGGCAGAATTTCAATGAAGAAAATGATGTAAATTGAAATGGAAGAAATTCTGCTATGTGTGATACATGTGCATGTGTGTAAAAATAGTAATCAGCTTTCCCTGAGGAGTTCGACGGACAGTCATGGGATGAAAAGAGTGACAAAGTATAGTTACTTTATATAAGCCTTGGCAACCAGAAATCTTAAGACAGAAACAGGAATTTTACATCTTTCTATGTCAAGGGTGAATATGAAGAAGCTAATGTTGATCGTTGTAGTGAATGCGTTGCTTTACTTTGTAGGTGGGATGCAGACAAATCTATAGCCCTGATCCCATCCCCTTTGATGTGTAGCAGTCCCAGGTGTTGACCTGGCAATTATAGCAGTTAGGTCTCCTTGATTTGAAGCAACAAAAACTAACCCTGCCTGCCTCAAACAAGAAGAAATTTGTTGGAAAACATAAGGGCTTCTGAAATCAAGAAGAGGCTCAGAATAGAGCATTTAAGAATGGACAGGGAATTGAGGTGAGGTGAGGTGAGGAGCAGTAGTCAAATCTGGTGAAGATGAAATTCTGTTGCTCAATTAATTTTATTGGTACATTTTTGATATACATAATCATCACATTCATCATGGGAAATTTGTACCTGTTCGTGATATATTTTGATTCTCTTTGCCCCATTCCCCTCCTCTCCCACCAACTATTCTTCTCTTACCCATTTACAAAAGTGTTATTTCTGTGTTGTTTTTTTTTCTTTCAAGAAGTGAAACCAACTTTTTCTCATCTTTGTGTCCCTTCAGTCATGTTTTCGATTGCAAGAGGTAGTAGTTTTGGCTGAGTTTAGTTCTCATTTCTGCCCTTGCATGGTATGGGAGCAGAGAAAAAGGCAGTATCTATGTAGCACCTTGGCTTTGCTCATGAGTAGGAGGCACCTGGATTTGTCATTCCAGCACAAACACACCAAGAAAATCACTGAGGATTGGGAAAGGGATATTGTTTGGGCAAATGTTGAAAAATATTCGTTCCATTATCTTTGGTCCTTGCATGGTGGATAGGAGCAGTTTATGTTAGAATCCTTGATATCAAAACAATTACCAGTTTATTCAAACTCTTATGTTCATTAACTAACTTTTCTCCTAAAATAGTTCCTAGATGAAATAGTTCTTCAAAGAAAAAAGCACAGCCTTCTGCACTAAGAATAGAACCCAAGTATTACTAATTATATACTAGTTCCAATCATGCTAATAAAACGGCTAAGGGACTGCACAGCCAGAAGTCTCAGCATCGTATTATCCCATGCTGAGCTCCTACAGAATCTCCTAACAACATGCCAGCTCTATATGAAAGCATTTTCTCATTTCTCTCTGCAAAAAGAAACTAGGTCTTCCTAACATTCTGAAGTTTCTTAGGCATGAACTTGTAGTCCCAGCTGGTTGAGAAGCTCAGGTGGCAGAATGGCTTTAGCCCAGCCAGGAGTTCAAGTCCAGCCTGGGAAATATAGAGAGATAATATCTCAAAACAACAACAACAACAACAACAACAAACAACAACAACAACAAACCAGACCAAAACATTTTTGGGGCAGCAAACATTGCTTTTGCATAGGGGATTCATTAAAGATATCTTTGGCCAGTATCATTAAAGTGCCATAGTTGAGTGAAGTTCTCAATGCAAAAAGAAAAAAGAGAAGTGAGCTTTGCCTAAGATCATTGTGGGCGAATTTTGGACGTATTGATCCAGATGGTTACTTAAACATATTCCTAATATGCTTCTGAAAAGACATTGCCGTGAATAAAATATCACACTGTATGTCATAGATAGATGCACTGTTTGTGAGTGTACCTACACTAATGTTTCTGAAATTTAGCAACATAAATTCATTTTGTTGGACTAGTCAAATAAATCTGCACATGGATACAGTAACAACTGATTGACAGTGAAAGCTAAAGATTCCCAGGAATCTAAACTTCAAACTTGCCAATATTCATGGCTCAAGTAATGGATCAGGACATCGCATTTGCTGTTATTTCACAGTAAAGAAAAGTATTATTAATACTTAGTATTTTATTTGGCTAAATTAATTTATATATGGAGGACAGTAACTTAGAAAGGACAGGAAAATTTTTAATTATGAAAATATAACATCTTCCATGCTTAAACTTTCATTAGGAATTTTCATTTCTATCAACAGTGAGACTGGGTAGTAATCTTTGAAGATTCAATGCATATAAATTGAATAAAAGTTATTCTCTTTTGATTTTATGCATTACCTGAAGATCAGCAACAGGAGCTGTTTATATAAGTGTGTTGGCTCTTCACCAAGACATGGGCATGTGGGAGAAAGTCTTCTTCCCTGGAGTCCTGGTAAAGCAGAAAATGAAAACAAAGCTTGTTTTCGCACTTTATTTAAAAACACAATTTTTGATTCACCATTTTGATAACTTCAGGCAATTTAACTCTTCTTATATCCAACTTTATTCGTAATAGTTAGGAGAATGACATTAACTTTCAATTTACTGAGAATGTTGAGACTACCCAAGTCCTCTTTTTTTCAAAATCAACATGCTGTTAGCTTTAAACTTACATCTGTTTATTGTGTCTAAAGAAGAAATGCTCCGCTCTTTGCTAATCCCAACCCTTTTGTTTATGCTTTTAATCATAATCATCAATTTTATTGATTCTCTGGGATTTCTGTTCTTTTACAGATCTAATTTTTCCCTTTATGTAGTCTGTTTTCTGTGTACCTACAAGCATGCTCAATATTCTTTATTCTCCAAAAGAAAATCTTATATTCATTTGCATGTCTTGTTTCTTTTTTCCCTTTTCATTCCCTGTTTGAAATTCTGGAGAATTTTGTATTCTTCAATTCTCTTTCATTCCTGCCAGACTTTGCTTAGTGTGGTCACCCATACTTCCAAGTTCTCTGACTTCCTCCTCACTTGTTCACTGCCTAATAAAAACTTCATTCTTCAGGTCAGTATAGCACAATGAAATCCTGTGGTGTAGTTTTAGATTGTTATAACCCCCAACATTTACTATCCTCTTTTCTTTCAGAAACTCTGTTCTCCCCTTGCTTCTGAGTTGGAGAAGTATTAATGATTTCCCTTGCTTGTTCAGTTCTTTCTTCATCTGATGCCTGAAATTCATTCCATGTATTCCTCTTCTACACCAATATGTTGTCTTATTTTTTCTAGTTTCTTTATTATTATAGTACTTATCTGAAAACTTTGTTTAGCAGTGAGTATATAGGTTATCTTCTGAACTAAATTATAAGACCTTTAAAAGCACAGATCACACATATTTTGACTTCTTGTTTTATTAAGCAGGAAAGCAAACAAGGTTCTGTAGGTTGATGTCATGCTCTTTGACTGGGTGCAGTTGCATTTATTGCAGTGATAGAAAATATAGCTTAGTTCTGATTAAGAACCAAAGCAAAAATGCATTGATCTTGGTAGATCTTCGAGGGCATTTATGGCATGAAATTATGTATTTTGTGTATAAAGATTAGCATGCTCAAATCAGATTGCCTTCTGTCAAATTCCAACTTTCACAGTTCTTAAACACATAAGGAGATAAGTCCCATTTCCCCATTTTAGAATTCACTTTCTGTTTGGGGGAAATACTTACTAGAAATTGTCTCTCAATCCTTTTAGCACATGTGTGGGATATGGAAAGTACTCAATAAATGTTAACCGATCATTTTTTTAAAATAAATTTGTGTTTTCATTTCAGGATCTGGAGAAGATTCATTTACTTGTAGTATGTTTTAAAAGAATATATCATCATAAATTGTTTTTTTGATAAATTGAGTTTAGAAAACTTGAGGCTATAAAGTTGCTATTATCTTTATTGTAATTTGGGATATAATTTTATTATATTCTGATTTAAGTGCTTAGAGAAATTAAAAATTATTCTCTTCTCTCCTATGGGAAAATTAATATTTAACTTTCTAACTTTCAAAGGCTTTTAGGATACTAAAGTTCTGATTTAGCTTCCAGATTCAACACTCGCCTGGCAAATTTGATTATATCACTTAAATCCTGTTTTACAAGTTACTATCAGATAACAAGAAATTAATGGGGTGGGGGGTAATCCCAGTATGGTTGTAGAAAAATGAATTTGTATCTCAGACTTGACATATTTGAGCACATGTATCTCAAATATTCATAATGAGCCCTCTGTTTTATAAAAATGTTAGATAATAACATTTGGTGTTGGAGAGAGACAATCTAAAAGACCATCCCTTTATCTGAATTTGCTGAATTCTAGTCTTGCACCTTTTTATGCCAGAAGGTATGCTACAGGTATGGTATTATCATACAGAATTACCCATCCTTCTGGCTTTCAATGGGCTATAACCTAATATTGTTCAGTATTTCGGTATGGAGGATCATCTCAGTTAGTTGTTCATTAAAACAGCTTTTTTTTTCCATCTTAAAAATGATAATTCCAAGTATTTTTGAAGTTTGGGCTGGGACTGGGAGCTTTTTGCCATAGTCCAGGTTAGTGGTGGCGAACCTGTGGTACGTGTGCCACAGCAGGCTATTTGTATCATTGAAAGCACTAAAATGTTCACCATCACTGGTCTAGACTTTTATTCCATGCTCTATAATTCCCTACACTTGATTTTTTTTTTGTAAAATAAACTTAATGTTCTTATTTTTCTTTTTGTTCCTTTTAGTGAAATATTTCCTTTAAAATTCATCTCAAATTCTGCCTTTAATGGTACCTGTTAAAATTTAATTCTAAAATGTTATTTTGAAGCAACTGCCATTCCTTTCTAAATGTGTGAATTATTTCTTGGAAGTATTGTATCATTCCTGCATATGACACCTATTCACTGCTTTTTGAAGTATATTTCTTAACTGAAAAGGAAAAAATGAATAAATATGAAATAATTTTGTTAAGAAAGTGCATTTCTTGCTAACTTAACTTGAATACTGTTTGGAGGCAAATTTATATAGGGCTGGATAGTAGTAATGTGCAATATCTTATGAAAAGAAATAAGGAAACATGTTTATTAAGAAAAGAGATTTAGTAAACCCCATAGAAACCATTTAGTCTTATCTCCAAAAGACTTGTAGTGTTTTTGACACTAGTCAATAACAGATTGTTCAAGGACTTATACTTCTTGTCTAACTATTGGTATTGCTACTCCAGGGTAATGTCACTATCGCTGGCCCTGGTTTGTTTGGTTTGTGAAAATTAATTGTAGGAGGTTATGTATTATCAGATTAACCAAAATCTTAAATCTTACATATTCAGCTTCAAGCCTTCCCAGGATGTGAGTCATTCAGTGACCTGAATCTCCAGCCCATAGAGAAAATTTTGTTTAGAAGAAGTGATCACTCTGCAGTGGTGGTGAACCTATAGCATGTGTGCTATTTATTTTTCTTTTAAGACAAAAGATGTTATGAATGAGGTTTTTTTTTTCATAAATTAAAATTTCAGTACTCAGGTTTCATTGTAGTGTTAGCACCTTGTGATAAGTAAGTGGGTTTTGAGTTGCAGTTTGGGCACTCATCTGTAAAAGGTCTGCCATCACTACTCTAAGGTATCTGTAGGAACAGTACTTGAAATGGTTTAAATAAATGTTTTCATCGTTAGCATTAATAGAATTTGCAGGGTTCTGGGCACATCCTACATCTCTGTCTAGAGCAAAATTCCTTTCCAAGCTTTAGATAAGTGTAGACAGAAACTCTTAAAGCAGAATACAGTATTGGCTGATGAAGATTGTGCATGGTGCAGGGATCCAGGGCTTCAATTAATTTACATTTGGTTTTAATTGATGACACTCTGGTAGATCAGAGAAACTTTAATTAAGAAATAAAAACGTAGGCAGATTAGAATATTGGTAATTGGAAATAGAGGAGGTTTGACTAATGAAGTGTGGCTTTATTAAATGTTTTGTTCGTTTTATAGAAAATGCTCTGTAGAACTTATTAAAAGTTATCTTTCATTTAAAATGAAACTGATATTTGGAGGATTTAGAATCTTTAGAAATATGCAATGTGATAGAAATGAGTTCATAGTGTAAAGTTCCTTTGCTTTTAACATTGTACATGGACTACTAAACCACTATGCTTTATTATAAGCTATCAGAGTTCATCTCTTAGTGACTTTGGGTTCAAACCTACACTGATAAATGGCTCTGCATTATATGTATAACTAATCTCTTGCCTCTGCACAGCACCTCACTTATAGTTACTTCTTTCTTATGTTGTGCTTCTAAAATTCTTGCCTAAAATAAATGTCAAAAGTGACATATATTGTAATTTGTAGTATTACCTTTGCCATTGTGGATTGCTGTCTTATAATTACAGCTTGCAGGAAAATCTGCTTGAACTTCTTTGTAGTCAGAGTAATGATATCTTGTATTTTTGCAGTCTTTTTCCTGTGACCTCAGAGCACCTTTCTAGGTGCTCTTGTTAACTGTCACAGCATTCCTACAAGCAAAACGGATGATTGAAGAAAGGGAAGGCTGAGTGTGACCAGACTGAATGACTTTCCTTGGGTAGAGCCATGAGTGACATCTGTGAGAAGGAAGCCAGGTCTCCTGTTCAGGATCAATTTTCTATCTTCTGCATCACTTTACCTACAAATATTTTACTGTTGCCCTCATTACCATGCTGTTAATTACTTAGTGTCATTTTACTGGAAGATTGGGTAAAAAGAACAGGTATCTGTGGTAGTTAGGGTTTGCAATAGAACAATTTTTGTAGAATTGGACACATAATTATAGAATATAATAAATATAATAGAATATAATTATATTATTATACAGGACACATAATTTATAGAATTATTTTATAATAGTCACCCAAAAAGTCAAATACAAAAGAATGGAATAAATCTGTCTACACATTAAAGACTCAGCGAATCCAGCTGAGGACCTGGGTCCCATGACAATGCCCCTGACAAGTCCAACTGGAAACCTAGAGCCCACAACAATGGCTCATAAAATGTGTTTCACTGACCTGCACCGGGGAGGCCCAAATATCAGTGATGGAAGCTAGAAAGTCTGTGCCGGTGGGATGAAGGATCTGTGCCAGCAGACTGAGGGATCGGCATTGGAGCCAGGAAGTGACACTCAAAGTAAGGACCAGAGCAACCTGGAAAAGTACCACAGCCATCCTTAGTGACAGTGAGGTCCAGAGCTCTTCTGATGATGACAACAGCTGAGTTCATATCAGGAAAGCCATCATGACAAGCTTCTTCAGAAGAACCAACAGCCCATCATCACCCCTTCTTCCTCCCCAGTTCTCCGTTTTATGTTGTTAGCAATAGTCCTCAGGTGGGCCCTCCACACACAGCACCATGCTGATTCAGTTCAACTGGGTGTTACAAGTTGCTCACAAGTTGTAATCTACCATAAACTCCGACTATGTAAAACTATTTTTAATGCAGCATGAAAGAAACAGTGACTTGTTATAGGGGAGGTATAGAGAGTATCAGATTGTGGCTACTTGATAAGCATTGCTAGTTAAGAGCAGCTCTGATGGGCTCATGATTTACCTACATAGTGCATTTTGCATGAGGCACATTCCAGGGTGTTAACTGGTCTAGTTTTGAATGTGCATTAAATGAAGCAGAATGTGATCAATTTGTTGATTACTGAATTACACTCAATAAAGTGCCCACTATATTAGCACATGTATCTCTTTTAGCTGAATTATGTGAGTATGTAGTAAGAGTTTTGAGGGTCCAGTTAATATAGATCAAAAACCTAAATGTTAAAATGTAGATAAAATTATAACCTATTCTCTGCACCTTTTAAAAAAAATTCTAGTTCTCTTTTTACATCAAGGTGTGAAATCGGATTTCTGGTGTCAACTTTACATATCCCCTTATTCTAAGACAAGATTTAGAAGAACAGTGGCAACTGTGGTTGGTATTTATTTGTTTGCATAGGTGTACATAGGAGAAGGGTAAAAGACTTGAAGGTTATATTCATTAACATTTTCCCATGATGTTTGTGTTTAATATATATAACTCATTGATTTCATAGTAGAATGAGCTGACTTAATTGTTCAAACCACAGGTTTATTGACAATGAAGTATAGTTCGGTGACCAGCATATCTTATTAGTTTTGCCCTCTTGCCCTCATTTAGAAAGCCTCCTTTGTTATATGATGCTTGATTATAACCTGGTACTTACACTTGGATTAGTCACTTTCATCTCACAGTTTCCCTTTTTTTCTTGTCAGTCTACAGTATTTTTTATTCTTGTTTCCCCCATATTTCTTTGTCTTAGTCACATAAGATTATTTACTTGTAGCTGTATTAGACTTTTCTGAAAATGTGATAGCTAGGCAGGCTATTCTCCTTAATTTTTTAGTGGTTTTGTCAAATATATTATGTATAACTATCTGTAAAAATCAACTACCTCATCAGTCATTGGGATATTATTCGATGGATAGTGTCCATAATAGTATGAAGACTTCATTGGAATGGAGTTTTCAGCTTCTTTTTCTTAAAAAAAAAATCACTTTTATGTAATAGCATTGGTATTTGGGAAATTCTGAGGTTATGGATATAAAACTGTAGCTGATGGTAGGATGATTATGAGACCTTTGCATTTTGTCTCATAGAAGTTACAATTAAAGCACATTTCAGATTGTTTATTATTAGTTGAGTATACATTGATACTAGTTAGTGGGAAGGCTCTGAGTATTAATAAGCATGTACAGAAAGTAGAATTTTGTTCAGAAAATTCTTTGAAGGTGATTGTAGATATTCTCTTTCACTGGCATGTTTCGTATGGTGCCTTAGGAGAAAAGGGCTATACCCTTTTGTGCTATTGAGCCTGAACTGATGAAGTAGCCTTGTGTTTCCTGCTACTTCCCTGTGCTTTCTCACCTGACACCACTTCTTGGCCAGGTGCTGTGTGGTCCAGGAGTCATCAGTAGAAATGGCTCATGACTTTTCTGTTTACTACAGTAATAACAACAGTAGTAAGATGGATTCTTCAGCATTCTCTCCATTCATAGTTTTAAAGCAAGGCACAACTTACATAAACATTTACAAAGGTAAAGCAGTGTAGATCATCTGTTAAAATACTAGAATATCATCTTCTTTCTTGTATACTTTGAACTGTCTTCACAGCACTTTTCTCTTGATTTTGAAAATATCACTGAGAACTCAAAGATTGGAAACACTCCTTGTTATTTAATTTTACAAACATTCAGGAGACATACAAACAGGAGACCTTATTCAGAGCCACTCAGGTAACAATGGTGTGAATCTTTAAAATTGTCAATATGGGTAGAAGACTGATGTAGGAACTGGTGTAAAACCACACCTTGCGATTTATCATCAAAGATGGGCTTTGTACCAGTAACTCTAATAGCAAATGCAGGTCATACACTTTTAAAGTGATACCTACTATAATAACATAGTACTCAATTGTGAAAGTAATCAAAAGGAATAAGTAACATTCCTCCATTTTATGGATAAGGAAATGAAGACACATAAGCTTGAGTGATGTACATAAGGTCGCATGAATGAGAGCCCTTCTGTATGCCCAATAGTTAAGTAAGTCAAGGGGACACTGGTTTAGGATGGTTCCAGGCCTGGGGAGAAAGAAAAGTGATGACTTGCATGTGTAAGTCCTCACTGAATGTATTACCTTTCATTTAGTATAGTTCTTTCTTCCCTTAGTATTAGCTTTACCCAAAATAAGTCTTCCCTATTCTTTTATAAATGTGTAATTCCACCACCTTTGCCCTCCTATACCCACTTGTTGTTGATTGGTACCTTACTGAATCTCTTGAGTATTATCACCAAAAATCTATATATGTGCATTTAGATTATCTTCTTTATTAACATTCTCATTTAGCCCTTGGTCATGGTTGTTGGTGTGCGGCATTATATTGTGTTTTATTGTGTCGTGTTGTACTGTGTTACCCTGCAGTTTCCTAGCTTTGTATGTTGTATCATCTTTTCAGTGGCATTATCGGAGCTATTAGTTCCAAAAACTATGTGTATATATTTTTGAACTGTTATTCTGAAAATATAGCATTATCCTCCTCTCAAGTATGTGTTACTGACTATTCTGTGTCAGTGTGACTGAGAAATGCTGAGCTTCCAGGCCTTTATGTCTTTGTAGTAAGTCATGCACAGGTCTCCGTAGAAGCTAAAAGCTGAGTGGTCATTGTGGCATGTGTCCACTTATTGTCCTTACTTTATGCTTTTTCTTTGTTTCCATGACATATGTCTGTAGGAAATTTTAGACATTTTCAATTCTGGGTCCCTAAATAAATATTTAATAAATCCTGGTTCTTCTTCATAATTACAAAAAATGCAGAGTTGCAGTTTTAAGAAGTTTTTCTTTGAGGATTCTACTTTCATGAAAGTCAGCATGGTTAGAAAATTCAGCGTGGTGGTCATGGTGAAAACTGTAACGTGTGGAGAAGTCCCTGGGAAAGAGCTGTGAGGCCGAGTCCTGAGTCCTCACAGGTTCTGCCTGTTGTTATGAGTGCCATCTGCCAGAGAAGGAGGAAAGCCAGTCTTGATACCCTGCCTGCCTACCTGTCTGCTTGTCTGTCTGTCTAGACTTTCAAAAAACATTTTAAAGGAAAACATGAAATAAATGGGGAAATAATCATCATGTTCTCCCTTTCTCTGAATATTAATTTTAGACAAAAAAAAATATATCATTAGTTAGGGTATCTTGGGGTACTCCAGAAAATCTGTTGTTATTTAACTTGATGCTCCTGAAAGTGTTTCACTTATTTCTGAAATCAGACCTGTACTTTTCCTTCTAGTTCTTACTTTTTTCTCAAACTAACTTTTGTGGTAATGTATTAACCTCATTCTAATAGAAACTAAAATATGCAAGATCCATAACATTAATAAGGTCCCATAAAAATTAGTTACAACCCCTCAACAAAGAATTCTTTAAAGATTACCTTTATTAAAAAGTAATTCACAAAAAAAAAAAAAGTAATTCACAAAAGTGGTATTACATGCCACTAAAAATGGTTAATTGATTTTTTCCAAAAGGAGGTAGCATTGTACTTCAGAGGAATTACTGAGCTATAAGAGTAGATTACTAGGGCCGGGGATGTAGCTCAGTGGCAGAAGGGTCTGCCTGGCAAGTATAAGGTCCTGAGCTTGATTCCCAGTACAAAAAAAAAAAACAAAAAAACCCAAAAAACAATAAACCATGAGTAGATTACTAGAAGACTGGTGGTGAAATTTAGGGCAAAGTGTTACAGAAAGCTCTTTATTCACATGTGTGGTTTAATAAACCCCTCCCCCAAAATCATTAAGAAGTTTATGCTGTAAAAATAATGCCATATTATATTCTAATGTTCAAAATTAAGAAATGTAAATATTACGTATTGTAAACATATACAAAAAAAGGAACATCATTGAGTGATGGATGGAGGGGGAGGAGGAAAGGGGAGACGAGGAGAAGAAAAGGAATGAAGACGTGCTATTTCCCACAAGGAATGTGAACACCATGTAGTACAGAGAAGAACTACTAAAACATTTTGTGGTGTGTACCTCAGTTCAGAAAATAAAATGACCTATTTTAACATAGTTTCTTCATTTTCATTTTGTAACTGGAAAAGCTGGCAAAATTTCAGGTGAAGTATGTTGGATTCCTAGAGTACTTTATCACCTAAAGGCACTTGTATGTGCTGTAGTGCATAATGCAGTGCTTAAAATATCCTTGAGAAACAAAGAGAGGTATTATAACTGCAGTATATTCCATATCTATAATGTGAGTGAGTGAGCTTTATAACAGAAGCTTATTGCAAATAATAGATAAAGTATTTGTGTATCAGAGGAAGCCCACTACCTATTGGAAATTTATAATACTCCAAAACAACTTCCTGATTATCATCACACCATTATTTCTCAACTGACATACTTTTCCTAGGCTGTTGACTAGCCTCGAGTGTCCATAAGTTACTATTTTATCTGTGGTTTCTTGGTATTTCCTGATAATAATGTACTTACTCTTTTACCTTATAAACAAAGTGTGAAACTGAAGTATTAAACTTTTTTTAGATAGGAAAGACAAACATTGTTTTTCCACAGATCCTTTTAGAAAAAAATACTCAG